TTTCCACTGAGATCAGTGACCTTTGATGTGTATCACCAGTGACCAATTTTTGCATGATATTTTCATACAGGACATCTGTTGTTCAAACTCATGGAAGACTTTATACTGATGAACAAGGTGACCAAGTTTTATGAAGTTTGGAATGGAATTAGTAAAGTTATTATGCACACAATAACAATTATTAACGACGACAACAACAACGACGACGACAACGCCGGACAAAATTTTTCTCTTAATATACCTTTCCCTTCCATCTTTGATGGTACGGGCAAGGTAATTAAAACAAACCAGTATTTTGACTCATACATGCACATATGTATGGAGGTATGTACATGTATCGTAATAAGATGTACAATATATGTACATTGTACAATACATGTTATTTTATCAGCATGTGCCTCTATTGGAGATCATACACATAGTTTTCAGTAATTTATTAATTTGATTTATAAATAAACCACTGTGGCAGTGTCAGACCGTTGTAGTAATAAAACACTGTATCTTGATGAGAACACTGGATGATGTCCAGATGGAGCTGTGGAATATTGCACCATTCCCATAATTCATTAGTTTTGCAAAATAAATTACAATTATTACGAAACAAAGGAATAAAACTTTTTTTTTTTGCAACCTGTGGGTCCATTGCTATAAAATCAATGGGGTTTATCAGTATCTATTAAACTCTAAACTGACACTATCTGAACTCAGGTTTTAACTTCCACAGACCAATCCCGTTGTTCTGTCGATAAAATGTACATATTTGTTGCAACATAGCTTTAAATATTGCAGAGTCGTTTGATGGCAGCTGATGTTCAAATTCTTTAAGGATTTCTTTTGTCGTGGCTTGCCCATCAATAGAGCCCTGAAAAGCTATGAAATTTCTTATATCTTCTATTAGTTCATCTCTGTCAGTCCTTGCCCTGATTGGCAGTGGTCTGGCACTGGTGTCCTCATCACTACTGCTATTGTCACCAGCATTGGCATTGTTTACAACAACATTGTTCCTCTCTCTCATCTTAGTCAAGAGATCTGTAGATGCTGGCAAGGCAGCAGCTTGACTCGTTGATTCCACAGTTCCGCATACTTCACCATTAAAAAGTTTCTTCTTTCCAAACATTGAAGATTGTTTTGATTTCTTGTCGGCTGTGATTGATGAAGATCCTCGGCTGTTTGACCCTCCTTTTCCTAGTCCAGCCAAGGTGAAATTTGACTTCTGACCAAATCTTGGCCTACAAGCAGAATAAACATGTGTGAAACTATATTAGTAGTGTTTCTTTCACTTCTCACCACCACACTTTCTCACCCAAATTGTTCTGCACTTGTTACTTACTATTTTGATTTTGCCATTTTCAGTAAATTTTAAAATAACAATGTTAAAACCATATGACATATTAAAAGTTCAAATTACTTGAATGTTATGATTCTGTTTGCATATAGTTGTATGGAAACTATATTATGGAGACAATATTACCGATGTTCGAAGAATGCACTTTCTATCTATCATAAAGCCACACAAAGTGAACACATTTTTTACCATTTTATATTTGAAAGACGTGGGCAACACCTGTGTGGAGATAGTATTAAAAGCCATCAATTAAAGTTGAACCTTACTTGATTGCCTTTGGTGCTCCTGCTGCTCCACTCTGTCCAGTCCATGTGGGCACACCGACCGGAAGCTGCCGACATCGTTTTCTGGATAGCTTCAAAGCTTTTGTAGCTTCCTTAGCCACTCTGTTTGCTTCACCTTCCACTAAAAGAAAGTCAGGGTTTGCAGACTCTATGACGTTATCATGCTGCAATGCACTGTGAACACCAGATTTCTTGAATAATTTAGCAAGCACATAGTCATCATGCCGTTCTTCTTTATCATCATCGTTGCCATGGTGATAAGTATCATGATGATCAAGGTATGCTATCTTCTTACCTTCAAAGACTAAACATAAACATAATGTAATAAAATTATAATTATTATATCGCACGCCATATCTTAAAAAGTTTATTATTTTATTTATTTTAATTTCACATAGAAAAATACAATTTTTATAATGTGGTAAACCACATTAATTACGAGAGAGACAAATTTTGAGAGACAGTGAAAATCACAAAGTTTTGTAGCAATGAAAATTTCTCTAGGGTCCAACTACTCTTCATGAAATTTTGTCATTAAAAATGCCGTAAAATCCGGAAATGACAAGAATTATGCAGTTTTCAGTATGCATATTAACCCTTAACACTAATGCATACTACTTTGATAGTGCATAAAGAAAACAGAATATACAGTGT